GTGTGTTGGAGGCAGAACAGAGAGGACTGGCTGCCTCTGAGAGACAGGTGATAGAATAATCTCAGGTATTGGGCAATGACCTTCACCAAAAGTAGAGTTCCTGCAATAAACAACCACAGAATCAGGGCAGAGAGCATATACCTGCCTTTTCTCTCATAAACTGAGGAGTGTGGGGAAGGAGGTTTGTGTCTGTTTGTTTTTCCTTCCAGCATGGCTGCTGATAGCATCAGCTCACAGCACTGTCAGAGCATCATCTGTCATGGAAAGAGATTTCACATTAGGAAAAGCCCATTTATAAAGCAGGGCATGTTGCTTGGGTTTTCCCTACTTGTGGATCATTGGAATGTGGTTTTGCCTTTGTGGGTTTCGTGGGTTTCTGAACCCATTTCATTGACTAAAGGAAAATGCATGAGGTTGGTTTATTCCATTATGTCTCTTTTATAGAGGCTGGGGGAGGGAAAGGGGCACTGGGTGGTGGCAGTAAAGCACTAAGGTAGTGCAAAAGCTGTTACAAATTCAATTTGCTGAAGAGCATTCACCTCCTCTGCCTTGGGAATATTCATAAAGCATTGCTGGGAGCAGCAGAGCTCTGACAGATTCCAAAGTAACACGGTGTTATGTGCAAGTTTGGGAATATAGCACAAGCAGCAGGAGGTTTTTATGTCTGGAGAAGAGTGGAATTACTTGAATGTTTGGGGAGGTGGGAGAGATGGTTTCAAAAGTCTGTGCTGGGCTTTAATTTAATGATGCAGAGGATTGGGTGTTAGAGCTGTTGGGGTGGAAGTAAGTCCGTTGGTCTGTGCCATTCTGTGTATTTCATGGTTTTAATCTTGAAACTTGCAGTCATTCCACTGTCCTTCTCCCAAAAAGATGTCCTTCAAAAAGATGGATCCAAGCTGCACAATAGGATTTTACTGCAGGACTGTGCAGGACTTTGAGAAAGCTTCTGAAGAGATCACCAAGGTAGGTCAGAGCTCCCAAATCACTTCCTCAGCCGGAGCGGTGTGTGCTGGGTGGGGAAGGGCAGAATCTGTGTCTCTCTCCTAAGCCGACATAATTCTCTTTGTGATATTTATTGCTGCTTTTCTAATCGTCAGAAATGGGGACTGGTTTTCGTTCCATGCGATTTTGCCATGTGTAAAACCCGGGGAGGGAGAGCCTGGGTTGTGCTGGGAGATGTTCTCTGTCGGAGCAGCTGCTGGAAAGGCGACAGGACAGGCCCACGAGGTGGCACTCGTGAAGTGGGAATGTTCCTGCTGCCAGCAGGGATGCCCCAGCCGGGGAGGGATGCTGGAGAGGCAGCCTGTCCCTCGGGAGGGATTGGCTTTGCAATGGAAGTATTTGATCAAGCCCAAATTGTGTATTATTTCTCATTAGCACAAGTGCTGCTTCCGATGGTGTTTCAGTGCAGAGCAGTGTGTGTGGCTGCTTTGGGGTCTGTGGAGCAGGTGGCACCCAGCAAGTGTGTCTTTCCACTGGAAAAACACTGCATTGGGTTCATTTAGGTCCAAAGGGAGCTGACTTTTCCCCCCCTTAGTTATTAAAGTATGTGAGAGTATGAAATTCAGCACATTAATGTGCAAATAACTGTGCTGTGGGATCTTAGAGAACAGTCTATGAAAAGGATGCAGCAGCAGCAGCAGCAGATGGTCACAATATCAATATTCCAACCCCAGCACATAGAGGATTCATGTTTGTACAGCATTTGGAGTGTCCTGTTAACTGTTACTAGTGTTTGAGGCAAAAAAAGCATTTTTAAACTTAATACTGTTTATAATCTTTAGTAGCTATTGATTGATGCTAAAGATGTTTGATTCTTAACTAGAGAGGTAGAAAATAGATTTAAAGAAGTTAGAAGTTCCTAAGCACCAAAACCAGGGAAAGTTTAAATAGTGAAGTTTCTGTTCCTCCATGTTTTTTTGTTCTGTCACATAGAGGAAAGAATGTAATAACATGGTAACAAAAAAATCTAGTTACAGATTCACTTCCATTGGAAGTTCCCTTCCACCTGTTTCCTTCTTTCTCTTCTTTCAAGTTTGGGATTAAGCACAGTTCTTGTCTGAACATATGCCGTGAAAACACTCATGGCTGAGCCAAGTCCTGGAGCTGTTATCCTGCTATTTCAGATAGGATGTGAAAGAGGATTTAAAGATCATACAATGTTTTCCACATGGTATCTGTATCCAAACTTTCCTCTATTGTCAAATTTACAGTGCCTGAAATAAATTTATATAAAATAATGTGACTAGTATTACAGAACTCCTATGTGTTTTCTTGCTTTCTTGTTATTTTTCCTTAGTTTGCAATTCCAGTGTGGTAAGTCTGAAACTAAAACCCAGTGTATTCCCAGTGCCCTGTGTGGGTCAGACTGAAATATTCAGCTTCTCACTGCTTTTGTGGGTAATAAGAGTTGGGAGAAAAGATTTAGCTCTTATTACTTGAGAAGAATTATGAGCTATTTATTCAGGGCCAGAGACATTAGGGTGCTGAAACTGAGGACCCAAGTGGAGTGATAGGGGAAACTCCATCCAGACTACAGTCAGGTTACCCTCTCTGAATTGTTTCCCTATCCAAACAGAAATAGTCCCTTGGGATTATTATACAGCTGGATTTGCCTATTTGTAGCCCAGGTTCCTAGCAGGGATGAGAGAAGAACTAGACTGAGAGAGGGTTGAACGTGGATTCAGTTCAGCACAAAGAATTAGTTGTAGTCTAACACTGAAACACTAAAAAATATTGATGTTTATTGATATATTTCTCTTTGGGAATCATCACAAACTTGCAAGTTCTTTGAGTTTCAAATTCTCTGTGATCACTGATGTGGCTTGATGATAGTTACAGAATTCTGAACCAGGTTCTACTCAACTCTTGTTTAGGCATTTGCCTGTCCAGTGCATGTATTTAGTATTAGAACATGGAGAGAGATATTCCATGTACCTGTGAAGAAGGAAGTTCAGGGAAAGCTGAGCACTGACAATGCAGTGGAAGCACAGGTGTGTTTGTGCCCTGGTTTGGAGGGACCATCATTGAAGGTGTGGTGGTTGGTCACTGGGATGTTCTCTTCCAAACATTCCAATAGCCAAGTGCAACTAAAATAGACAAGAATAAAGTGAAAACATTCAGATCAGAGTAAAAGTCAAGGATTGATTTTTTTTTTTTCCATTATTATTTTTTTAAACACCCTTCAACCCCCAACTGCCTTTAAAAAAAATAATTCTTACTGCTTAAAGGTCTGTTTAGGGTTTTTTACTGTTTTAGATGCACATGAAATCATGCTCAGTGATTTTTAGCTCCACACAGTGTGTATCTGTAGGCTGATGTAGCTCTGCATGTCGCTGCATTTCTGAGCTGTTTTTTCAAAGCAGGTGAGAACTAAAAAGAAAATAATTATGTAAATCAGTGAACAATCAAGTGTCCAAAAACACCCTGAAAGGCTGAAATGTCTTTCAGTAATTGGGGGATTTTTATATGCTCTTAAAGGTATTTTGCTGATCTGTTTCAGTGTTTATCATTCCCCACCACTCACTTTCCTCATGCTCAGTTTTCTTACTTAGAAATGCAGATTTTGGGCATGCTGGTTACCTCAGGTTGTGCCTGTCATCAATCTGGTTTGAGCCATGTGCTCCTGACTGGCTTATTTACATAGGTCTGTGTGTTTAAACTTTTAATAAAAACATTGATTATTGTACCTGCTGATTGTTCAATAAAAGGATCCTTCGTTGCTGCAGAATTCATACCTGTGCTTGAGGAGAGCCTGGTGGCCATGAACTATTTTGTAGAGGTTTTTATCTCTATCTTTTTCCTTCTTTATCTTTTTTCTACTTTACCTTTTTGTCTTTGTTGCTTGGAAGCAAACAGCAGGTAGAGGTGATCTGTGTGGAACAAGCTACAGAGTTAGGCATGAAATTAGAGCTGCCTGAAGAAGAAATGGAAGTAAACGTTTGTCTAATAAGATATATAGGTGGTGCAATGCTTTTGTTTTAATGAGATCATAAAAATAAACACTGCATTTGTTACTTTGCAGTTGCAATCACCAGATAAATAGTAGATAAATATCACTCCTTACTGTATTTCTTCGTTTCCAATTAACTTCATATTTGCTTTGTGTTCTGTGTTGCAGATGCTGCAATCGTCATCCAAGGAGAAATATCCCTTGTTTACTTTTGTCAAGGGTCATTCTAGAGACTATGACTTTGCTTCCACTCCACTCCACGAAGAAAATGACCTTTTCTCTGAGGATGAAAAGAAGAGATTAAAAAGATTTAGTACAGAGGAGTTTGTCTTGCTTTAAGGACATTTTACACGAGATTATCGGCAGCTGTCCAGGAGAACATTTGCCTTTTAAACCATAAACCATGTACCTGTCCTCCCCCCCCCCCACCCCCCCCGAAAAGGCTTGTGCTGAAATTGGTCTATTTTCATAAAGATGAGAATGTTTTATATGTTAATAGTCTTTAAAATGTCATTTACTAATGTGTGTACTAATTATTTTTGCTCACCCCTAGCAGGATGAGTTTCATGTGCTAGTGAAGGGAGAAGGCTGTGCCCAGAGCTGAGGTGAGGCTGTGCCCTGGGCTTGGCTCCTAAACACCTTGGCCAGTCCTTGAATCCCACCTGTCCTGTGGGACCTGTCCTGTCAGTCCAGGACATGTCCAGAGCAGAGTCTGCCAGGTGCAGGTGGGTTTTGTCATGGATTCAATATCTATAGGTTTGGAGACCACGTTGTAAGCAAACTGGAGTTGTATGATGTGGGAAGGGTACAAGTCTCACCTGTCCTGCCCCAACAGGAGTTCCTGCTGCCACATCCTGAGCAGCACTGTGCCAGGAAGGTGAGGGTGATGGATCAGGAGTCATTGCCAGTTGCAATCCTGCCATAATTACATAGGCTGAATTGTGAGTTAAGATACTATTTAGCAGTCTGATTTCCTAATGGTTTCTCATTAAGTTTGCTTTGGAGCCTTAATATGAGGAGTGAAGATAAAGTATTACCTTTCCCCACAATTTTTAAAGGTTATACTATTAATATTAACTGCAACCAATCAAAGCAGCTCCAGACAATTATTAGAAGAGAGCAGTGTTTGTTTCCTGTTTCAACTACCATAATGGTGAGGCTTCTCCTGCCTAGTGCAGCTTTTAAATCAAAGCAGATGGGGTGGATGTGAAAAATTCTGGGCTGTGATGATTATTTTTTGTTTTGATATGTGTTGTTACTGTACAAATGATTACTTGATGGTGTGTGTTCTCAGACCGCAAACAAATGTACATAGAGAGTTACATGTTTTAACAAGAGTTAAATGCAATATTTAAAAGACATATTAACACTGCTTGGGAAATAAAAAAGGTGTGGAAAAAATGAAATGCTTGTGCCTTTTGTATTAATAGCAGATCCTCCAAGAGTGAGTATAATCCTCCATCTAAAACAATATTGTAAGGTGTGAATACTCTGTTTATTTGCAATAAAGGCAGATTTTATTGGTGTGTTGTAAACCAAATGTTACCTGTTCTAAGTGCTGTTCAGGCACAGAGGCACAAGTGTTGCTGATCCAAATAATCAGCATCACATGTATTCATTAAAATACCTTTTAGCTTTTATGAGGAAGAAGTGACTAACGGATAGATTTCAGGCAGAACTAGATCAACTCTGTGTCTGTATCAGGGCTGAGTGTGCACTTGCACATGTTAATATCCCAAAAAGCCAAAATGAGGTTGTGTCCACTTGTTTTGAAGGAAAAAACAACCTCACACCTCATTTGTCTAAATTAGTAACCTCTGCACTGCTGAATCCTGCTGATAATGGGCATAATGTTCCTTTTGCTAGCATGTATGTGAGAATGTTTGCCTTTACGTTGCTATTTTTCATTAATAGCCCAGAAGAGGGAGTAAACAACATATTTATGGAATTTAGATGTCAAAATGAGGAGAACTGTGAATGTCAGTGAGAGCCAGAGAAGAGAAGATCCCTGGTTAGTGGAGCACAAGGTACTATAGCTTCAGCAAAAACAATGCAAACCCTCTGAGAGGTTCCTCTGGGTGACAGTGGACACGAAATTAGACATGAGGTTGTACTTTGCTTTCCCATTTAAAAAAGAAGAGCAATTCTATGCTGCATCATTAAAAGCTTCTGTCCCAGAGCAGGGGGAGATAATTGGGATAATCTGCTTTCACTGGTGCTCTCCTTCCTGCTTACCTTTCCACCAGGAAGGCATTAAGTAATTAGAGTGCACGGAAGAACAGGGAGAACCATCAGGAGCCTGCAGGGGTGGATTGAAGGAAGATTTAACTTGGAGCTCTGTGGGTTGGCAAACTACAGCTGAAGAGTGAGGGGAGGGAGGGAAGCACTGGTAAGGGGGAGAGAGGAGCTAGAGGGAATATTCCATATCCTGTGTACCTCTTGGTCTGCTGCAGACACACAGCATGGACCTCCCATCCTGCTGCAGCACAGGAGCTGTAGCTGAGATGGGAACTGGAGGCTGAATTTTCCTCCTTCCACAGCTCCACTGCCTGAATTCAGGTACCTCAAAAATCTCATGTGCACAGACCCATCTGAGCCAACTGTGTCTCCAGAAATTAGCTGCTCTTCCAAAGACCTTTGGTGTGGAATTCTTGTCATGGAAAGACTCAAATGGAAATATAAGATCTACAGTATGGAAACGGTTATAAAGGAAAATGCAGTTTTGCCATCCCAACAGCAAAATTCCCTGAAAGGGTGAAATAGTTTCGCTTGTCCCAGACTTTTTGCAACTTGATAAAGAAATGTAATGTTGAAACACCTTTGCTGAACTTACATAAATAGTGGATTTTTTAACCCCGTTTTGACTAAGAGAAAGAAAAATAGTGCTAGAGAAGCAGTTGGGTTGTGGTCCTTTAATTTGTAGCAAATCCTTTAGTTCGCCACAGTGGGGTTTTGTTTGAAGGCTGCTACAAACAATTAATTATAAACTATTGGCCATTTTCAGGGTCTTTTTCATGTTTTTCATACAAAGTTTAAGCATCAGCAAGCCCACAAGATGCCCTGGTGCACTTGTGTACAGTGGTGACACAAGTTAAATTACCAAGTTACTAGAAATTAATGTTTTTTGGTAACTACAGGGGACTTTAATTGGAAACTATGTTAATCGTATAGTAATTCTCTTTACCTCGTTTGCATTAGCTCCTGAAAACCAGGCAATTAATTTGTGTCATCACTGTTGCTGCTGCTGCCTTCAAACACAAACCAAATGAGCATTAGTTACTCACACACTCAGCAGTGGCCTATTTTCTTAAAGGACTTGCACAAATCACAGGCTGATTACTCACCTGCTGATGGAACCAAGGCTGCACATCCTGCATGAAGTGGCAAACCAAAGGCTGAGCTTTCCATCACCTAATAACCCTTTGGTTATTGCTTTTCTGCCATTTTCCTTAGAAGGAACATTTCTTTGTTTATAATACCTACCAGTAGCTTGACACAACCTCAGGACTCAGTGATTAGTGGACTGTGTCTTCCCCCTCTGGCAAGGATATTGGCCTCATTTTTGCCCCGGTAGGTAGTAGATGCCCTGACCCTGGCAGTGTTCAAAGCCAGGTTGGATGAAGCCTTGAGCAACCTGGACTGGTGGGAGGTGTGGGGATTGGGACTAGATGATCCATTCCAAACCCTAAAATTCTATGATTTTTCAAGCTAAGGTGAGACCTCGAAATCCTCTCTGCCTTGACTCTACCTGACCAGTGACCAAACCCCATCACCCTTCCAAAACTAGCAGTAAAGGTGTTGATGTCTGTCCCGTGCAAGTAGCGCTGGGGCTGGGGCTGTGAGCCCCCATGGTGTAGGGTGAAGGACCTCTCCATGTGACCTGGCTCTGCAGCTCTTCCATGGGGACAACTCCCCCAGTCAGCACCTCCCTTTCTTTGCCTTTGGCTCTTCAGCCACTCTCATCTCTAGCCAAACTCATGACCTTTAAACATTCCCATTGGGCACTCACGAAAGGCAGAGGCTGATTTCTCACAACTTTCCAAGACACAGGCTGAACTGGAGGCTGGTGGAGAAACCCAATGCACTGCTCTAACTCCATGGGGCACAGCCAACAGCCACTCAGGGATGGCTTTTGGGAAAGGTGGGGTTGGAAGGCTGGTTTTGCCCTGTAGTGACTCATGAAATGGAAATATCCAGAGTGGTCATTAGAAGAGGGAGCTATTTACTAGTGTTGATAGAGACAACGGACCTGGGAGAGAAACAGAGCTTGGAAACCAACTTCCAGGCAGTCCAGAAATGGAAATATACTCAAGACCATTACTGAGTTAGTGCCCATCTGTGGGCACCAGCAGAAGTTTCATATAATTATGGAATCACAGACTGCTTTGGATTGATCCCCTGCCATGGGCAGGGATACCTTCCACTAGCCCAGGTTGCTCCAAGCCCCATCCAGGAGGCTTTGGTAATGCCTTTCTTTAAAGACTTCTTTTCCCTCTTGCCAGTTCCTGTGCTTCAGCAGAGCTGGAAAACTGAGGCCACCCTGAGTTGTTACTTTCTTTTGCGTTTTTTTTTTTTTTTTTTTTTAGCTCCCTCTCCAAACCCAGAAGTATTGGCAGTGCAAAGCAGGTGATCAGCAAGTTGTGCCCAGCGCAGTCAGAGGGCACAGCAGGGTGTGTGTGGAGGCAGGGAAGGATCTCCTGTTCACTCTTAATTGCAGTAGGAGAATAGACTCACTCCAGAGACCTGATTTATTTCCAGAGTTATTGACAACCTCTTAAAGGGAATGATGGAATGAAAAGCAACCATCAGTGAGTTATGAAAGGTCAATAACGCCACAAATGAGCACAAACAGCATATTTGACATCCAGCCCACCCCACGTTCTGTTTATGCAATGATTTCATCCAAGGTGCTCAGGCTCTGCTTGTGCTTCCAGGAACCTCCAAGAGGGCAGAACATGCCAAGTTACTTTCTAGCCCTTTACCACCCTGCAGCTGAGTCTTGCATCAAGGGATGCATTTCTTTTTCCCAGAGCATGGAGCATGTTTCCCTAGAGCTGCATGGGAGACTGTGGAGCACAGGCAGACACAACACTCAGTGGTATTTGTGCCCAATGCTCCGTATGCAATCACTAAGGCCAGAGCTTGTCAGCCTGTTATCTGGCAGCACAAATGTGTTGCAGCCTCCCACCAGGTTGGTTAGGCCATGCCAACATCACATAAAGGGATCTTAAAATGCTGAGCACTTACTTACATTGATTTTGATTCACATCAAAAGGCATTTGGGGGAGTCAGGATCGAGCCCTGAGTGCTCATAGTTTGACCCTGTGATTTGGTGCCTTCACTTTCTGTTGCCTAATTGGATGAACTGAGCTCTACAAACAGTTCCCTTCCCTGTTTGTAAGCAGTTCACGGGCAGCTGTAATTGTTTGAATCCACGGTGTGAATAGTAAAAAGAGCTTTACTTAATGACTGCAGAAG